AATTAAGTAATTGGGCTTTAAGCATCTAATTAAAGTGTGGGCCGGACTATATGTGTAGAGACCGGATCCATTAGGGTTTGTATTTGACGATGGGCCGAATACATATGGAAATATATAAAGGGTTATGGTCCCCAATTCATATGGCGATTTTCTCATTCTTTGTGGCATCCCATCAACACAAGAATACAAGAGAAAGCATATGAAGAGGAAGATCCATAAAACCCACAATCAGGAATTAAGGTGCAGATTTGAAGCAACCAAACTGAAGATTTACAGATCCAGATTCAAGATTCATTAATCAAGTCAGAAATCAATTGATTAAGGTATGTTCCGCGTTAATTCAGTTTTCCTGATGATTTGACATGAAGATCTTGGCAAGATCATAAAGTTCAAGTTTTAATAAAGTTCTAACAATATATATTTATAATTTTCTTTTTTTGTTTTAACCTTAAAACAAATGGGCATGGGGGCAGGTCTGGGTTCTCCATCTGCCCCTGGAATGAAGCCTTCCCAGTCCACTTACAGAAGGCGATGTCAAGACTCAAGATGGGTAAAGTCGGAGAACATGAGCACTGTCCTAATATTGTAGTTCATTTTCATGAGTTTGAAGAGGTAGACTTAGGGTTATACACAGAAACTACTTGAATTGAAGTTTCTATTTTGTGTATGATCATTCTGCGACTTTAAATTGGCAGGTAATGGAAATCTAGATTTTAATCTACCAAGTCAACAATTCATTTTAATCACATATTTTATGAATTCCACAACTTTTTAACCACATATTTCATCAACTTCTAAAAAAATCTATTAAATATCTAATATAATCCTCACCAAACAGGGGCTTAAATACATTTGCTATACTATCTACTGGTAAAATTCAATATCAATCAAAATAAAAAATATCATATTCGAATCGGGAACATCGACAAATAGACTAATAGAAGCAACCACCATTTTTTTCAACTAGTCAGTCACCGCAACAAATTTGCTTTCGGTATAACCATGCAGCAAGTAGCAAATAATTCACTGAACATCGAACTGTTAGCCTCATCTCCATTCGCAGAACCACATGTATGAGATCATAAAATTGCAATAACTATACATGGCGTTTCTCTCGGAGAAGGCAACCATTGTGTGGTTTCCTGGTCACATCCTCGATGTATATAGAGCATTTCTTTTGGAGACAGCCACCATTATCTAGCCATTCTGGAGCAGTTCTTGCAAATTGGATTCATAATCTAGAAACAATGTGTGAAGATATGATAATGTTTATAGCCAGTGTAGAGTAGTCGTTATCCACAAAAGAAAGCGTGCACTTGACGGAATTTATGCATTCATATCTTCAACTGAGTTACAAACATACCAGTAGAGGTACATTTCTTAACAATACTATACATTTGCGCGGTACAAAAAAATCATAAATTATTGACAGTTTAAGAACTTATAGTGGTGTCATTTCATTTACTTTCAATCTGTATTCTGAAAAACCATAAAATGATATATTTGCACCAAAACTCATTGTTATTGACAAATTTTGAATCCTGCATAAAATCATTGCATTTAAGGTCATTGAATTTCCACACAATAGATAAAATATTTTCGATGTTTTAATAAGCGCACTTGGACAATCTTGTGTTAATTATGATACGGTTATTATGCATTCATATGGTTCTGATTATGATTTAAAGTCTAATAATTGGTTAACTACTTTTAAGATCACGAAAATTTTAAAAGTTTTCTTTTATGTGACCAATGGTGCGCAGAGGTGTTATGCTCCTATTGTTCTACTACTTTTTTAATATTGCCAAAAAAAATGTAAATATAGATTTTTTTCATTTCTTATGACATTATTGCTACCACATAGATGAAACTCTGAAAATACTGAAGGATTTGTCCATATTCACTACAACAAAAATAGTCATTAGTAACATTTAAAAGGCAACATTTGTTGATAAATGTTGCCAAAATGGTTTTTTTGGCAACATTTTAGCAAGTGAATGTTGCCATTGGTTAATATAAATGAGTTTTAGCAACGTTTTTTAAAAAATGTTGTTGTAGACCAGTTTTCGCAACGTTTATTGAGTGTTGCGAAATACCTTTCGCAACGTTTACAAAACGTTGCTAAAGGTGATCTTCCGCAACGTTTACAAAACGTTGCAAAAGGTATTTTGGCCCATTAAAATGAGTCCATCAATTTCAGCCCAACAATATATTCGTTTTGGCCCATAATTTTTTTTCAGTTAGGCCCAAAATTTTTAGGGCCTAAATTTTTTGGCCCATTTCAACTCTAACCCACAAAATATCCACCCAAACCCGCTAACCCGAACCAACCGCATCTTATAATCCAAAACGAGACAGCCATTTCGCACTTTCTGCCTTAAACGCAATCCGCCATCTCCCGTTCTCTGATCTCTCAATCTTAATTCGGCAAATCCAGCATCAGCATCTTATAATCCGGCAAATCAAGCATCTGCGACTTAAATTCGTTTGTTTTGCCTCGCCACAGAACCACAGAAGAAGACGGATTCTCAGTCTCGCCGCCTTCCACCACCGGCGCCTCTCATATTTTTGGTTATTCTTTGTACTTTTTGGTAATCCAGAATTCGTTTTAGTAGCTTATTGTAGTGATTGCAGTGATTCCTGAAAGGATATGGCTGATGGGGATGGGAATGTGAATTTCGAAGTGAGATTGCTCTGTTTCATTAGTTCTCTTCCTTCTGATTAGTAAAATTATAGTGTTGATTTGTGGTTTGGTTTAGATTTGATGAGGCACATCTATGATTGGGACTTTACCTATGATACTTATGACTTTTTTAATGCGAACAAACTTGGTTGAAATTGTAACACATTAGTATTGTGAGGTATTTTTGACACCTATGCATCTGATGTATTTTCTAATTTGCAGAACTATGATTGTGTTATATACACTTGTGTAAGCAAATGATGATGGTATCTGAATTTAATTTTGAAGATATTTGGATAGGGATATTGTGAGGACAATTTGTTTTCTAATGCATCAGATAATGATCTTATATAGAAGAAAATATTATAACCATAAAAACTACCAGACTCCGATCTGTACTATATAGGATAGAACATGTTGTCCAAAATAATATTGTTGAAACCTGATTTGAGCATCAGTGCTGTTGTATGCAATATATTGATGATTGTTCTTAGATGTGGATTCATATTTACAGATTTTTTGTGAACTTCCTAGCAAAAATTTTGTGAAGAATTTCATGTTGCCTCTTCTAATCTTTTAAAAGCGAGGCAGCAAGACTTCAAACTCTATCTTTTTTAACCTCCAAAACTCAAGTCTTCGTGGCCTTGTTTAAATACAACTTTATTATCACACATTGACTTGCACATAAATGGAATAATAGAAACTAAAAGCGAAAACAAATTGAAGTAGCAATATATATAAAGTTAGATTGGGACAATGGTATGAGTTTTTGTGCATCATTTTTGCTAATGGGTGCACGGTACAGGTAGGAAATTTTATGCACTACATTAGCCGTTTTATATCAGGATTCGCCACTGGTTTCATAAAAGTGAGGCAGATCAGTCTTGTTACTCTGTCAATCTTGCCCTTGATTGCACTTGCTGGTGGTATCTATGCCTATGTAGCCACTGACCTTATTGCCGGAGTCCGCAAATATCAGAGTAAAAGTAGGAGAAATTGCAGAAGAGGTTTGTCCCTCTTTCTCTACAGTGTTTGTAAATGAATGTGCATTTTTTATACACCTTTGAAGACCAAGAAAATCACTAGTTCTGCTTGCTGGGTCGGAAATGCTTGACTTATTAATTTCTCCTAGTATTTTCAAATTCCCACAAGAACACTCCAATGCTTGATTCAGACTCTTCGGAGGGTACCTGAAAGTGTAGTATGGCATTTTATTTTTAGGCAGTGGAGGTTCTTTGTGTTTGAATTAGAAGGGTAGGATTTATTTTGAACTTATCTTAATATTATGATTTGATGAGGTTTGTAGTAGGGTTAGAGCAAAATTCTGCCATCAACTGTTAGTTTATATAGTGATAATCAATATTCTCCAAACCCGAACTTTATATATATTGCTACCAATTAAGTAGTGGCACGAGAACTATACTCCATATTTGGGGAGTAATATAATTTTTTCTGCGATCAAGGATTAAATATAAAATTAGATTGGAGTATACTAATAAAAGTAATATATTTTCTATATACTATGAATGTGTAGTCTACCAAAGGAAGTGGTGTGGAAGGGGGTATTGCACGTATGAAAAATGTTAGGTGTCAACTACTGTATTGGTACATGTTTGAAGAGGAAGAAGTTGTAGCAGAAGGAAGAATTGCAACAACAGACCCAAGTGCAAAAGTGTATCACTTGCCACTCGTAAGAGACTGTTGGAAGGTTTGGGTTGATGAAGTGTATATGGATCATTTGACTTTATACAGACCTACAGATGAATTTCGAACTCTTCGTGAAGCCATGGGAAGTTACTCTGTTGCTTGGCCAAAGAGTAGTATTAGAGTTATGTGATGAAGGTATGTTCTTGGAGAGATTTTATTTTATTGGATAAATATTTATGACTGTGATTAGACCTTAGACTAACTCTTTTTTTTCCCTAGTCTTGTTTGTTCTGCTTTCTTGCTCTACTACTTTTTTTGCTATGAACTCTGGTTAGATGTGTTGGGATTCTTTTGCTGTGAACTGTAGTGGCATTGGTTTGATGTGTTGGGATTCTTTTGTTGTGAACTACATTGGCATTGATTCATTCCTTTTGAGGAGAGTTGACTTGA